GGGGGAACCCCAACAAACCAAAACCAGCTTTTTGTCCAATACAAATCAGCCCGGCCTTGCCTTTCCTTAAAGTAGCATGAGCTCCTGGTCAGGACAAAGTTGTGTGTGTGGGTTAGTTCCCCCCCTGCCTTTTGCTTAAATGCTTCTCTTTGCTTCATCAACACCTGTTAATACTTTGTTCGTTAGTGCTACAGTCTTGATGAATTTGCGTCTGAATGAGAGACAGCAGTTGTGTATGCGTGGGGAGATAGGCCTGCTGGGATCACCACGTGGAGGAGAAATCTGTCACAGATGTTCACATGGGCACTTTACGCTTCAAATACGAGATGAAGGAGGTTTCTGGCAGCTTAGATACTGCCATATGTATGTATGTAGTTCATGTATGTATGTATGTAGTTCATATGTATGTGTGTAGTTCATGAGGAAGAACTTCTTCCCTCTGAGGGTGATGGAGCAGTGGAACAGGCTGCCCAGGGAGGCTGTGGAGTCTCGTTCTCTGGAGACATTCAAGACCTGGCTGGACAAGGTCCTGTGCAGCCTGCTGTAGGTGACTGCTTCAGCAGCGGGGTTGGACTGGGCGATCCCCAGAGGTGCCTTCCAACCCCTAACATTCTGTGATTCTGTGATTCTGTGATATATTCCTTCAGCCCCTTAATGCAAGCTAGTACTCGGGAGGTTTTTGCCAGCTTTGAATTGTTGGTGTGCGAGCCAGTTGCATCCATCCTAAAAGCATTCCCCGCGTTTGATTTTGTAGATACTGGGAGACAAGAGAACAACGTGCTCCGGGTCTGAAAACCAAGACGATCCAGAAAACGGATCAGGAGCAGCAGGACCCGATGGAGTACCTTCAGTCTGACGAAGAGGACGACGAGGAGAAAAACAGCGCCCACGCAGCGGCTCGCCGCCGGCGCCTCCAGGAACAGCGTGAGCGCATGCATGGCGCGTTGGCCCTCATTGAGCTTGCCAACCTCGCCGTGGCACCGCTGCGACCGTAGATAGATGGGAAGGAACGGGGTCTGCCCATATGAAATGTACTTCCTGGTGGTACTTAACCAGTTAGACCCCGGGCGTAAGCTAAGCACCTTATTTGCTTGTCATAGGCTGCTATTCTGTAGAATTTATGAAGAATGTCGTTACCCCATCACATGGGGTGAGAGAATTGCACTTTTTGTAAGGTAAAAGACAGATGTAAAGTTTTTAAGTATTTTGTAAATATGGGACTGCACAGTGCAGGGTTGACAAATTTACGCATTGTGGGGAGCTAGATTTTGCAAGGTTAACTCATTTCTTTGAAGCAGTTTTCATAGGAAGCACTTTCTGAGCATAGTGTTTGCGATTAGCAAGAATGGTACACGTGGCCGAAGGCTGTCAGGAAGAAAATTATTTATCTGACTATTTAAGCAGATTTATATTATGTGGTAGGTCTGAAGGCATTGCTAAGCAGCAGCGAAACTTTTTTTTTTTCTGATGTCAGTATATTTTTGCCTAGTATCACTGAGGCAGAAGACAAACCTTAGTTATCTCGACTTGCAGAGGGGAGGAAACTGCTTCATGCAGGAAACTGTAAGATCGTTCAGGATCTTCACTGTGACTGCTCAAGGCATGAGGCTTGACTTTGCTGGTTTGCGTTTTCTGAGTTGATTTCAGCAGAATCTCTTGGTAGCACTTGTTATTCCTAACACGTGATGTTAGGAACTTTTGCACATGGTTGGGTTTATCTGAAAATGATTAGTCTTGCAAAGTCTAGACAAAGGTAAACAATTGGTCATAATTTTTTTTCCAGGTATTTTTGGACCCTGTAGTGATTTGGCACTTGATTTTGTTAATAAAGGGGGTATTTACAGGGTGGTATGGATTTGTAGTAAACTATTCTAGGTCTCCTATTAGCAAACACTAAGTTCTCAAGTATTGCTTTTCTATAATTAGTAGCAAATAGAAGCCTCCGTACTTTCTGTGCATAAAGCCACCTTATTGCTTTACTTCAGGATAACATGCCAATTTTGTGTTCACTAACTATAGCACAGCTATCAAACACTGCAGAAAAGTATTGACTATACAACTAGAAAATAGGCTTCCAAAGATAGTTACAAGTGTGTTAACAGTGTGGTTTCATGTATTTTCCAAATAAAAGAAGTTACAGAACGCTGCCTAGTACTCTCAGATGCCGATATAAAATGTTTAGTAGAATATCTTGTCACTTCGTGAATGGTGTATACTTTCAGATAGCATTGTCTCATGGTGATCTCTTTCTATATTTTGCTTTGAAGGCAAACGGAGATTGTTAATATGCTAATGAAACTTTCTTTTTCAAGTTGGACTTTTTTTTTTTTTCTTTTCAGTTAAGCTACTGCTTTTGGGGATAATAATAGTTCATATTTACTGACCTGCCTGCTTTAACTCCTTCCTCTTGTTGAAGGTCAGGAAGTTCAGATGAGAAGGGAAGCCACTTTCCCTCTCACTTAAGCAAGAGGAAGAGAAATCATTTTATCAATCACTCGATAATAGACTGACCAGATGCATACAGCTGTTCCAGAAAAGTAGCGTGATTTTACACCAGAAACTGCAGCTGTTGGATTATGTTCTCTGATAACTGATAATCTGTTGTGGTTGAAAATGTTATTAATCCAGTTTGTTTATATCATGTATTGATGCACTTAACTGAAGAGTAATTGAATAATTAAAAAAAAATCACTTTCATTGAATGTAAATAGTTTTGCACAGGTGATATGGTTTAACTTTTGCTTTCAGCTCCTAAATTTAGCCGACATCAGGCTCATTTGTTTCTGTTTTAAGTCGTTTAGGCTTAAAAATGTGAAACACTCCGTAACTGGTTCTAGGCTGCTTAGCCTGTGTAAAACCGGTAATTCACATCTGTGGGTTTGGAGTTCCTCAAGGAAGTTACGTGCTTTTGACTGTTGGGTTGGCTGAATGCAAACAGTCTGTTCCCAAAAGGAGCCCCGAGTGTAAATCTGTTGTACTTCAGGATTTTTCCTGAGTAGTATTTCACAGGGCACAAGACTGTGTAATTACCAGCCAGCTGCAAACTGGAGTCATAACTTAAGTCATTAGGATCGATTTTTTTTTTTTTTAATTTTTTTTTCCCCTCGGTCAGCTGTAATGTTTTATGCAACTTGTAGAATATTGCAGGTGTGACGAGTACACTGAATTGTACTTGGCCCTAGAGGAAATTCGGACAGCTGAAGCAGATTGGTGTTGTGACAAGCTTTTGGTAAAATACCAAGTAAAAAAAAAAAAAAAAGATGAAAAAAAATTGAGATGTGGAAGACTGCTTTTTATTTAAAAAGTGATTACATACGGGAAATCTTGAAGTGTTCAGTGCTTTGTAAGATTCAGTTGTAGCCTGGCGTGATGTAACAGCGGAAGGGTGGACGTGCTGTCACTTTAATAGACGCTTCGAATAAAACCTTGGTTTAATTTTCAACTCTGGTGTGTGCTGTTTGGTGGTTGTTGAAACACCAGGGTTCCTCCGCGTTTCTGTACTCTTGCCAGCCGGCCTCCTCCCAGACGCGGGCGCGTTTGCTTCCCCTGCCCGATGAAACCCGACACACGACAGCCACGTAGAGACAATTATTTCGAGATTTTGTTCCCCTCCCAAAGCCTGACAAAGCTGCGAGAGCCCCCTTCCCCCCCGCAGCCAGCCCGGGGTCGGGCCTGGG